GGTCTCCACCTTCCCTTCTGCTTTGAGACATGGTCTCTGTTGTTCACTGATGGCCCACAGGCTTCTGGGAATTCTCTTGCTTCTGTCTTCCACTTCCCTGTAGGAGGGCTGGGATGATGGACCTGGGCTGGCTTTGCCCGGATTCTGGAGCTAGGAGCTCAGTTGTTCACACTGGCATGGCGAGTGCAGTACGAACTGAGGCCTCTCCCCAGCCCTGCTGTAGAACTGTACAGAAGAGACTGGAGCACTCACGTCCCAGAGCGTGTCCCAGAACGTGTCCTCCGTGGAGAGCGAGGGACGATGACTTCCAGGACTGAATGAGAGTGTGTATGCAGGTGCCAGGTCACCATGGTTTGAGCACCACGTCAGCTCACAAGTTCCATCTTGGCCTGAGCCTTGGTATCTCCACTTATAAATTGGAGACAGTACCCCACATAACCGTGGAGTGGGTATGATGATTCAATGGCCAGAAACAGGTCAAATCTTAGAGTGTTTGTGTAAACCCCCTGCTACAAATGGGAAGCTGTACAAGGCCCTTCCAGAAAGAGCTCATGATTCCCTCAGTATCCCACAGGGGGCATTGCTCGCCTCATTTCCAGAGAAAGGGCCTTGAGGGACCTGGGACCTGACTTACCAGGAAGGCCTCTTGGCTGGAGCCTGGAGTATCTGAGGGATCTCACCTGTGGCTCCAGATGTTCACACCCCACTCTGGCAGGGACTCTGGAAGCTCACTGTCAAGGGATGATCAGCATTCTCAGTCTAGGTCACCACTACCCAGATGAGCAAAATGTCCACTGGGTGGGGCTTTGCACTGAGGCTCCCAGGCGGGGCTTTGACAGTGGAGTGGAGGAAGGGCTTGTGTCTGTCCCATCACAGGCCAGGCACTCAGATGTGCCCTGGCAACCCCACAGAGCTAGTCTGGCAACCTGGCAGAGCTAGCTGACCATTGTGAGAGAATGAGAAAATAGTTAGAGGGAGTTCTGGGATCAGAAAGGCCTGGGTTCAAATTCTAGCCAAGTGACTTCTGAGAAATCACATCTTATCCCTGAGCCCCAGTATCCCCAATATTTTATGGTAGGTAGACAGACTTAGGTGAAGCCCAGGTAGTTCTTAGCAGTCAAGCTCTCTTCCCTGAGTGGGAAGCAGCTTACTACCTTGGCCAGAATGGATTTCCTATTAAGTTCCAAGAGTCTGGGACAGTGGACTGCACCCAGGAAGCTCCTGCGCCTGAGGACTCTGTTCACCTCTGCTGCCAGTCAGGTACACCAGACATGCTGCCTCAAACCCATATGGTAGTTTAATGTGAATGTGAGCTGTGCTGAGCTCAGGGCCCAGTGATTGGAGCACACATGGTACCAGCTGCCTGGGTTCTCCTGGCCAGCACCCTCCGTAGGGCTCAACTCCAGAAGCTGGTCAAGAGTGATGGGATGGAGAAGAACCAAGACCTCACTGCAGCAGGAAGTCCAGGGATGAGGCAGGAAGAGGCAGGTGGGCAGAAGGGATCCCAGCGGGCATTGAGATGCCACCAGCCCTAGAGGTAGGAGAGAATCACCCGGCCTTGGGGAAAGCCCAGGACAAAGGCAAGCTGCCATTCCAGCCCCAGGCCCTGAGGCAGGACCCTAGTTCTCAGAAAGCATGATGAAGGTTTAAGATCCCCCTACCCCAGTCATTGCCAGCTCTGACCACTGTGGTTCCAGCCTCAGTTTCCCCTCTGGGTTAAGGTTAAGTTACTCATGTCTCTCAAAGGGAAAAAGTACCATCCATCAGGAGGGGGCCTGCCCGGAGGGTTAAAATGTTTGAATCCCGACCAGCTTCTAAGTGGCTCTGGGGACTCCCCACTTGGCCCCTCGCCCTCAGGACAGTAGCTGAATAGACGTTTTTGTCACCACTGTGCCCTGACAAGGGACGATGGGAGCCAGGGTCAGAGAGCCCAGCCTAGTGCCTGGCACACAGTGGATGCTCCTCACACATCTGTTCACAGAAAGCCTCAGGAGTGAAGGAGATAACATCAGCTTGGGGAGACAGGGTGCTCGGACCAGTCAAGGGGACAGAAAGCCAAAAAGCCAAGCGCATCTCATTTGTAGACTAGATAAAAACCACACACAGAAAATCAATAGCCTTGCATTCTTACATCCCAGAGACCCACAGAAAAGCCAACAAAAGAGGCCCCATTTATAATACTAATAAATAAGTACCGGAGAGTTCTTTTAATTTGGGGCACTAGATATTTGTTTAGTGAAATTACAAAAACCCAACAGAGGCTCCATATTAGGGAAGCCATCAACATAATCCATCCCATTAGTAAATTAAAGGAGAAAAACCATATGATTACTTCAATAGGTTCTTAAGGAACATTTAATTAACTTTCCTTATTAAAAATCTTTAGGAAAATTGAAATAGAAGCAACCTTCCTACGTGTGACCAAAAAATGTATTTATCAGAAATCAGTAGTGAGTATATGTAAGTTAAATAGTGAAGCTCAGGAAAAGTATCTTTTTTTAAACAAGAATCCAGGAAGTTTTAGACGATGGAGTAAGTCAAGAAATGACAAGAAATTCAGTAAGTATAAAAATACTGCTTACACAACATGTCAGGTCCTTTTCTGCTGATGTGACACCAGGAAGAAAGGATTTAATTGGGCTTATGGTCTCAGGGAGTCAGAGTTCATGACGGCAGAGCAGTCATGGCGGCAGGAAGCTGAGCGCTTACAACTTAGTCCAAAAAAAGGAGGCAGAGAGACTGAGAATGACTTTGACATCCTGAAACCTCAAAGCCCGCCCCCAGTGACACGCCTCCTACAACAAGGCCACACCTCCTAATCCTTCCCAAACAGTTCCACTAACTGGGGACCAAGTATTCAAATTGGTGAGCCTATGGGGGCCATTCTTATTCAAACCACCACAAATAGCAAGATTTGTTTGTGAGTTTGTATTTACTGATCGATCGATTTGTGTGTGCATGCCTTGTGAGTGCTGGTCTCCTTGGAGGCCAGGAGAGGGTGTTATGACCCTTGGTGCTGGAGTTCTAGGTGACTCTGGACCATCTGATGTGAATCCTGGGAAGTGAGTTCAAGTCGTCTGTAAAAGCAGCGAGCACTCTTGACCACCGGGCCATCTCTCCAGCCCACCATGCAGAAACTAGAGTCCAGAGAGGTTAAGACACTTACTAGAGCCACAGAGAGTCTAACAAGAGTGCCCTGGCTGCAGGCTATGAGCATTTATAACTTAGGAGCAGATGTCTCCTGTGTTGGGAAGAGAGGGAGGTCGCTGCCTTCGGCAGGTGATGTAATTATGCAACGGTTAGGAAAGCTGCAAGGGAACCTACTAGAACTAATAAGTGTCCGCACAATGTCTGCCCAAATGTCTGGTCTGCACACGTCAGCAGTTTCCTTCCCTCCCCTGGGACCCCAATGTGCTGTGAGTGGCACAGTGGGCTTATGTGGCTATTTGATAGGTGATGGGGATGGGTCAGGAGGGCTGCAGGGCAGTCTGGGGAGAGATGGGGGTTGTTCAGTGACACAGGTAGACTACTCTGAGGCTCTCTCTTTCCAGATCAGTCTGCCCCAGTCACAGGGCTCCCTCTGTGTAGCTGGAAGCCACACCCTGCACCCCTCAACCACCCACCTTGGCCTCTTGGTTTATTCTGCAGTACCAAGCAATTCCAGGAGATGGCGCTGTCCTGACTCAGATACTGAAAGGCACCGTGGTTGCTCATAGACATGGACTTGGGCACAGGGAGGATGAGGTGCAGTTAGGGCAGCCACTCTGAGAGGTGACCAAGGCTTCCATGAGAGATGGATTCATGGCAGGTGTTTAGAGTTGACCAGATGGAGGAGATGTGGGTGGGACAGTGACAGGGGACCCCAGAGGACAGGAAATACCCTAGATTTCTGGTTTAGGAAATCTGTGGGTGATGATGTCATTTGCTATGATGAGGAAAAAGGGGAGGTGTGGGCTGAGGGAGGATGTAGAGCTTCATGGTAGTCATGCCAAATGGGAGATACTTGTCAAATATCTCTGTGCAAGGACAGCAACTTTGTAAAATTGGATGGTGGCACTCTTCCTGCTCTTAACCATCTTGGATCGCCCCTCGTGGATTTTGTCCAAGTCCCACAGCATGGCTGCTGAAAATAGTGCATTCTGCTCAGGCCCCCTATGACTCACAGTCTTCTCTGTTCCTTCCCCAGGCCCTCACTGAGCACCCAATGGAGTAGAGATGGGCCACCCCCAGGGCCTTTGCATCTCTCTTCCCTCAGTGCACCACACCTGTCCCAGCTCTACACCAGGGCATTCCTCTCTAACACTGGGACTCCATTATCTGTCCCAGCAAGGTGCATGCTGGGACACCACCTTTGTGTGAAAACCCAAACTCTCTACTGATGTTTCTTCTCCATCAGGAGGGATGAGGGGTGAAGTGCGGAGCTGGGGACCACCCTGGTTTCGAGCTCACAGATGAACTGGGCTTCCCTCCTCTGTCTTTCTAAGTTGTACCTTGAGTGATCTGATATTCAAGGAATAAGCAGGGTTAAAGGGGACTATGTGAACCACTTAAGGAAATAAACAGCTTTCCAACATCCGCAATTATTTTGGAAGCACCTGCTCTCGTATAATTAATGTGCCAATTAAAATGATTATTATAGCCGTTAAAGTATATCCCCCAAGAACCACCGCTTCACAATACTTGTTTACACTCATTGGAGTCTTTCCACCACCTTGTGAAAGAATAATAACAACAATGCAGCATCAGCTGCTGAATCGTCTCCTGAGCGGGCTTTCTGTTGACCCAGGCTCCCGCCTCCATCCCCTGGATGGCTGAGGTCTCTGTGTGTTGTGCCTCCATGAGGAGTCAGCTCCGGGCAGTCATGCCCAGCATTTTCTAAAGGAGCACCAATCTTGGAGGAATCTGTGAGGACAGGAGGAGGGCGGCACATGGCTACCGCCTCTCCACCCTGTGTGTTCATCTCGGGCTAAGTGAACCATATCGCCCATGTCTTCCTACAGGATGGAAGCCATGTCTCCCCCACATCTTTGCTTGAGGGTGACAGCTTCTTCATGGGTCTGTGCCTCTGCAGACAAGTGGCTCTAGCCAGGCGATGATGACAACAGCCTGAAGCCTCCGGCCAGGTTTGCACCCCCTACCTCCACCGCCCATGCCCTCTTCCTGGCTGTAGGGTGGAAGTGGATGGCCCAGAAGCCTTGGAGATCTGCCTGTGCACCACAATGACCAGACAGGCCAGTGTTCAGATCTCCCTGGACCTTGCTAGACGTTAGACCTGGGGCCAGTTAGTTTACTTCTCCAAGTTTCTGTGGTGATATATTGTGTACCCCAATAAAGCTTGCCTGAGGATCAGAGGATAGAGCCAGCCACTAGATTAGACAAAGAGGCCAGAGAGTAGTGGCACACACCCTTAATCCTATCACTCAGGAGGCAGAGATCCATCTGGATCTCTGTGAGTTCAAGGCCACACTGGAAACAGAGACAGACAGTGGTGGCACACACCTTTAATCCCAGTACTGGGAAGCACACACTCCTTTAATCACAAGAAGCGATGGCAGGGCAGAGAAATGTATATAAGGTGTGAGGAGACAGGAACTAAAGCAGTTCAGCTGAAACCCTTTCGGGTGAGGACTCAGAGGATTCCAGTTTGAGGAAACAGGATCAGCTGAGGAGTTGGCTAGGTGAGGTTGGCTGTGGCTTGTTCTGCTTCTCTGATCTTTCAGCTTTCACCCCAATATCTGGCTCCAGGTGTTTTTTTTTTTTTTTATTATAAGACCATCTAAGATTCAAACAACAAGTTTCATTGTCCCCAGCTCTTGAATATTCACAGGTAGCTAGTGGAACACTCAGCATCACCGCAGGTGACCGATGCTATGATGGGGCGGGGTGGGGTGGGGTGTTCATAGTGGCTATGAGGGAGACAGGGTTTGAGTCCTGTTTTATTAACCCACAGGCTCCTCCTCCAGAGGGTTCAGCCCTTCCTAGGGCACCAGCCACTTGGGAGTCCCCACTTCTCCTAGCATCTGTCCTCGGGGACTCCCAGTCTTAGATTCTGACTAGTTATTCTCCAGTTTGACAGCCTGGACAAGGTGCTCCCCCCACCCCCGGCCCAAGTTTCCTCAACCATGGCCCTTGCTCTTTCTCTGGGAGTTTCAGGGGGTCTCTGGACATCCCGAGCTTCTGCATCCATGGAAGAAAGAGCTCACAGGGAGGAAGATGGAGATGCAGGCTGAGGTTGTGTACCACGGGGCTCTGTCCCAAGACCTGTGGATGGTACTGGATCACACAGAGATAAGCTTTATTAGGGCCACTGTGCCTAAGTCCTCTTCTGTGACAAATTCCTTCCTGTCTCCTTTCCCTTCAGCTGTCAGGCATGGCTGGCCTCGTCCTAGATGTCCATTCAGGAGGCACCTTCTCTGGATAGATCTAGCGAAATGATCCTGGTTCCCAGAGCATGCACAAGTCCCTCTCCTGTGGGGTCAGGAGCCACCAAGACACCTGCTTTCTACAGAACATAGCCATCAGCTAAGCTGCCTGGCCTACCATCCTTACCACCACAAGACTGCTGGGCAGTGGAGCCTGGAACAGTCCAGAGCTCCGGATCAGAACTGCAGAGAATCACTCACTCAGTGCTCAGCTGGCCAGGAGCCTTCTCTACCGCTGTGCTGGCGGGTGGCCACTCTGACAGGTGTTTAGACACCTTCAAGCGGGGAACCCACCCATCCCAAGACACCCCATCTGTGGCTGGAAAGCTCAAACTGTAATAAAATTCTTTGCTTGATCAACTGAAAATTAGCTTTTACATTTCCTCAGAACCTCCCTCCCTCCTCCTTTCTTCTTTCTTCCCAGCTCTGGAGAGGTGGAGGATTCCTAGAGCTCACCGGTAGCCAGCCTGGCTGCACCACTGACATACACATACCCCAGCTCACTGAGAGATCCTGCCTCAAAACAACCGTGGAGAGGGACTGAAGAAGACGTCTGATAGTGTTTCTTCTCTCCCTCCCTGAGCCGTGTGCACAGGACCACACTAGACCTCAGATGAGCAGATGCAGCAGGATGCAGCCCCAGTCAGCCAGAAGGGGGCGTTTTGAACGAGTGATTTCACTGATCCAGTTCATCCCTCGAGCCCAAGCACAATAAGGCAATGGAGGAACAAAGACTGGCAGGTCCCAAGCACAGGAGATGACGCAGCTCACCCAGGGCCAGGTTCTCACTTCCCCATGTGTGCGAGAGAAAAAAGCCAGGATCCTGGGCTGGTCATCCCACTGTGTGGCCTTGGGCCAACCATGTCCCTTCTCTGAGCTCTCCGTCAAAAGGCATGTGTCCTCTTATCGGCAGTCAGGAGGCTCTAACACCTGAGCTGAGTTACATGGCAGGGCTGTGCACATGAGGATCTAACTCCAGCAAGGTCAAGGAAGAAGGATGAGGAAGAGGATGGAAGGAAGAGTGAAGGATGGGAATTGGTTCCCAGGGTGACCCTGAAGCTGAGCCCTTGGGAACATCAGCATTTGCCAGATGGCGGGAGAGAAGGGCACCGTGGTAGCAGATGCAAGGCAGGTAGGTGGCGAGGAACATTGGCACAGCTGAGGATAAGCCATGTGACCATCGAGCGGTGTGCCCACTGGAAGCCTCGAAAGCAGCAAGGCTGGGTCCAGAAAGGCCTGGCAACTGGATCAGGTGACCTTGAACTTGACCCTGCAGGTGATGGAGAGCTTTTGTGTGAAGTGTGGGACAGAGAGGGCAGCAGTGGTACTGTCACGTGTGTGTTCTAGAAGAGTCCATGGCAGTGGCCATCGGCAAGGATGTGCACACTGCCAGGGGGCTTTGCACCCAGTCAGGAAGGGTGGGGCCAGGAGGAGCAGGGCCAGAGGAGGGAAGGAGCTGGATAGAGCTGGATGGAGCTGGCTTTCTGAAATACCTCAGGTCTGCGGTGGTGTTTTATTTCTCTGGTGTGCTGGAGTGGAAGTTTGCCTTTAATCCTTCTCTGACAAGTTAAGTCAGCCCCTTGTCATTTAAACGCAGCAGGGCGTGAGTCAGGCAGAGACACTGAAAATCACACTTTGGGCTTATTATAGCTCCATGTTCCACCAGCTCAGAAGCCCTGCAGCAGCAAAGGCCAGGACTCCCACTTCCAATGGAGAGACACATGAAGCTCACCTTGAGGGGTGCCCTGGCTGGGCAGCCTTGCCTCTTCCCTCAGCCCGGGATCCTGTGAGATGAGACAAAGCAGAGACTGCCTGCAAGGTGAGAAGGAACCAACACAGTCTCCGATCTCCACCTGGGATTAACCTCAGTTTTACAGGAAGGAGCCTGAGGCTCAGAGAGGGGAAGTGGTTGGCCCAAGGCCACACAGCAGGATACTCTCTGCCAGGTCCTGGCTCTTTTCTCACGGATGCAGCGGATAAATGAGGACACATACCAGACAAGCTCAGCCATCACCCTGTTGGCCTTGGATTCTCCAAGCTGCAATCTTCTGTCACCATCCAATAAGAAAGACCGTTGATTGTGGAGTCCATGTGTGGGCCAATAGAACATCCTGATATTTGTGGTTCATGCCAGCTGTTGGCTCTCCCTCTTGACAGGTTGGGAGCCAAGAGCTCTTATCAGGCCCGCGTGGGGCAGGGAAAAGATCTCATTGCCAGTATCGGGAAATTGATCTTAATCCCCAAGAGCAGAAGGATTTTTTTTTTCTGGTCAAAAATTCCTCTCCTGGTGCCAGAAAGGGCAGTGATGAACTGCCAACATCAAGCTGTCCTTTCTTTCTTTCTTATCTCCCTCCCCCGGCCAGGAGCAGCCATGTGCAAACCCGGGCTGATGGAGCTGGCCTCTGGATTGATCCCGGTCTCCGGCAGTGGCTCTTCCCACCCTTGCTGATCATGGCACCCGCCCCTCCTCATCTTGATCCCTGGAAGGCTCATGAAGAAGGACTCTCACAGCCTTACAGATCTCACCACACCCGTGCACATCTGAGTTTGGACTTCACCAACCCGCACTGCACATTTCATGTCGATAACCATCCACCCAGACGTGTGATGCTGGGGCTCCTGTGCTTTGTGTGTGGGGTAATAAGGAGCCTTTGAGGACCTTCAGTCTCTTGGTCCCACAGAATTGTACAACACAGGCTAGGGAGATAACTTAGTCAGCAGAGTGCTTGCTTAGACATAAGGGGGAGGGTGCACACACAGGGGGAGGGTGCACACACAGGGAGAGGGTGCACGCACAGGGGGAGGGTGCATGCACGGGGGGAGGGTGCACGCACGGGGGGCACACACGTACAGGGGGCCACTAGGGCTGAGCTGGCATACACTAATGAGTGCCATTGCCTTGAGAGGTGGTTCACAGTCACAGGACTGGGTTTCTGAGGGAAGCGTGCATTCTCGTGCATTCTGCCACTTTCCCTCTTGGATGTACATATGACCTTGCTCCTGTCGCCATATGAGGCAGCAAGAACAGCCCCAGATGTGAACCCATAGCCTTGGGCTTCCCAGCCTCCAAAACCATGAGCCACACAAACTATTGTTTATCCAAAGCCCCGAGCTTGGTTTCTCAACAATAAGGGTTCATCAGAATATGGTTCTAAAGCCACAGCGTGGAAGAGATGAGCAGGGCAGCAAAAGAGACAAGGGACCTTATTATTGCATCACCTCTCAACATGGTTGCATTAGGGGTTAGGTATCAGCTACATGAACCTTGGGGACCTCAGCACCCCCAGGTTTGCCTTGTCACCACTGTCACACAGCTTCTGTGGTGACAATTCTGTCACCATGTCTTGGAGGTACTTCAATTTAACGTGGCCCACACGATCCTTGGTATTTGTCCCTTCAACCTTCTCTCTGTCCTCCTGTTTCAATGATCAGCAACCATGACCCTCACCCAGCTGCCTAAACCCCACAGCCCTGAGCCTGCCTGAAGCCCCGTGTCCATCACCAATTGCACATGTCAGCAAGCTCCCATCCTACTGTAAATCAGAAGTTCAAGGTCAAGCCCCTTTGATGGTCACAACCTCAAGACCACACCCTGCTGCGTCCCATGTTCCCCATAACCCATAATGCACAGAATGAACTTATTTGTCCATCACCATTGTGGTCCTCACCTAGCCTCGGTCACCTCTCCCTTCAGTGACCTCCAAGGAGACCTCTCTGCTGTTTCTCTTACTGCCCCATTCCATGTTCTACTAGCAGGGATTGATAAAGCAAGCCAGCTGCTGGTTGTTTTGGCTTAAAATTTTTAATGCTGGGCTGGTGAGATGGCTAAATGGGTAAAGGTTCTTGCTGTCAAGCCTGCAGATCTGAGTTCAATTCCCAGGACCGATACGATGGAAGGAGAGAACCAACTCCCACAAGTCACACACACACACACACACACACACACACACACACACACACACCACTCATTCACAAATACAAACAAAAAATAATGCCTTCAGTGTTGTGGGAATTCAATCTGTTCAGCCAATGGTATTGGGGTGACTACCCTTAGGGCATGGTCTTATCTGGATATGTGATCAGATAAGAACTGAGGAGGAGGGTCCTGCTCTCTCTCTGGGACATGGAAGGTTTCCTGATGCCATGTTTCGGGTGAGCTGGGACAGAGCTTTCCCCATCCTTCCCTGGTGGACAAGGAGGCAGCGGCGCTGCTTCATTCTGTATTCGTGAATATGTTATCCCCATTGCATGCCTTAATAAATTATTGACCGGACTTTCTTGGGTTCTCATTTTACTTCTGTGTTTCTTTGTGGTCAGAAACCCCCTGGAGACTCAGCTCCCTGGAGCGCAGGCTGGCCAAGAATGGTCCCTGCCTTCCTCACCCAAGCGTATTTCCTGTTCTCTGACAGCCCAGTACAGGCCCTCAGCGTGTGTGCCTCACTTCATTGCAACATTCTGCCTCCTTCCCTGGGCACAGAGGCTTCCTTGCTCCCCTGGTGATCTCAGTTTCCTTGAGGGTCTGTTCTTGACCACAAATTCCTGTCCACCCCATAGCCGATTTTAATCATAGGCACCAAACTTCTTGATGCCTAGAATCCTACTTGCTGATGGAACTTTTAAACTTGTCTCTCAGGGAGCGGCATAAGTGAGGGACTATGGTTCCACATCCTGGTGCACCCTCAGTGCCTAGAACTATCCTGACTCTAGTGCCGTAACACACTGAGTGAATGCCGATTGCACAAGCGAATTAGACCCCTCTTCCCAAACCACCAGAGTGGGGTCATTTGCAGGATCAAGGGTACCAGTCAGCTGGGGAGTTGGTTAAAAGAAATAGCTGCCCTGGACTCCAGCACGCAGAGTCTAAGATCCACCAATTGGCTTCACCGTGGGCAGCCGCTTCTAGGAAACTTTGAGCTCACAGCAACACCATCCAGAGACAAAAGGTGGTATTGGTGTGATTATGTGTAGTGAGCCCTAAACACCATCCACCCTTATTCTAAATTTACCTTATCTGGACTTCTTAGGTCACCAGGAAACATGGTGGGACAATGGCTACCACTTATAGAACAGATTCCACGGCGAGTCTAGTACTAACGATACCCACCTATGCCCAAGAGCACATGGAGTTTCTAAAACATGCGCTGCCAAGGTCAAGCCCCAGAACCTACTGTAGATATTCAGTTACCAGTCCTTTCTCTGTCTCCATTGTCTTACTGACCTCCAAGCCCAGTGCTCTCCCTCTCTGTCTATAGCCTCCTCGAGTGTTTCCAACAGATCTCCCAGGGAAGTGAAGGAGAGTGCATGGCCAGTTAACACCATTGGTACCTCAAAACAACCCCCCCCCCCAGCTATCAGCATCCACAGGTGAGAAGGTGAGGCGAGAGGATGCAGAAAGGGGCAGGAGGGACAGAGAGATGGCTCAGCAGTTAAGAGATCTTGCTGTTCTTATCAGGGGTGGGGTGGGTGGGTTTAATGTCTAGCAAACACATCCGGTAGCTCACAACTACCTATAATGCCAGTTCTGAAGCATGTGATGCCCTCTGGCCTCCTTGGGCACCTGCAGATATGTGGTATACATACACTCACAAAGATGAGCATACAGACACACAGTAAATAAATAAATAAAAATAAATCCTTTATTTAAAAATAAAGGCCGCAGAAAGCAGAGCGTTTACAGCCACGTGTCCTTCTCCTCCCTGCTCCGTCTCCTTCTGTGGCTTTCTTCCCATGGCCTTGCAACCTGTGCTCAGAGCAGATCTTGGGAATAAATAGTGCAGGAAGAAGACAAAACAAAGATGTGATGATAAAAACCGCCACGAAAGGTTAAATTCCCATGATTCCCTGTGGTTGCTTAATGGATTTCTATGATATAAACAGACCTTTGGCTTTGCCTGCTGGGCAGGCAACCCCCAACTAAATGAGTTTAGACAGGATTTCCTAACAAGAAATGTACCTGGTGCCTACATTCTACCAAGAGTCTGCAGAGACCTGCACTTCTCCAGACAGACAGGTACTAGTCTCGGTGGACATGTGTGCTATGCACTCAAGGCGGAGGCTACATGGATGGTCTGTGAATGTGTGTGTGTGTGTGTGTGTGTGTGTGTGTGTGTGTGTGTGAGAGAGAGAGAGAGAGAGAGAGAGAGAGAGAGAGAGAGAGAGACAGACAGACAGACAGACAGACAGATAAACAGATAAATAGACAGATGGAGAGAAACAGAGACAAACAGAGAGAGAGAGAGAGAGAGAGAGAGAGAGAGAGAGAGAACATTCATGGGCACATGTGTACAGAGTCAACCTCGAGTATTGGTCTTGGCTTTTCATCTTGTTTGAGACAGGGTCTTTTAGTGGATTTCTTCTGTTTCTCCCAGACTAGCTGGCCCTCAAGTATCTGGGGATCCCCTGATTTCTTTCTACCATCTCCCCATAGGAGCTCTGGAATTACAGACACTCACGCTACCACACCTGGCTTAACTGGGTTCTGGGGATTTGAATTTAGGTCCTCACACTTGCATTGCGAACTCCTTTGCTGACAGATCCACTTCTCCGAAGCCCAGCCTTTCTTAATTTAATCATTACCATGGTCACTTTGCAGTAACTGCCCAGAATCATGGAAACAAGATACATCTTTTATACCTGAGGTGCTCAGAGGAGGGTGTGTCTAGAACTTTCTGGAGGAGCCAGGGGGATGCAATAGGACCCGGGACTCAATATTTTGAATGTCCCTGGTTTCCTCACTTGAAAAGCAGAATTCACAGTATTATTTTGCCTGCCAGTGACAACATGAAATTGAAGGGTAAAGCCCTTGACCCTGTACTCAGCTCCCAGGAATGGCACGATAATGTTATCCACCCAGGTTAGCATTCATCCTGTTTCTAAACACGACCCCAGTGCACAGGAAGGACAAAATGAAATCTACTGTGTGACGTTCATCTAGAACAAGTTCTTTCTTGGGTCCTAAGGTAGATGGGATGTGAGATGGCCAGCTCCTATTGGCCATGTGTGGAATTGAACCTCTACACTATTAGCTACTGCATGTTGCTGAGAAAATAGAAAGAATTATGAGCCAGGGCTTGCAGATGAGCCTGGGGAACTCCAGTCTAGATGAACCCATACAATAGTGGAGAAGTCCCAGGGAGATGAGAAGGATGCAAAGCATCCTTAGGTCACACCGGACAGACACCGCAACTCCTGAGAGCCCCAGGGCTGACCGTTCCCTTGACCTCTCTATGTTTTCAAATGTATTTTAAGAGGGCTAACAGTTTCCTTCTTCCCACCCTCTCTTACCACAAACATACATGCTGTAATGATGATAGGTCACAAGATCAATACAATTCACTTTGTTGGAATTCATTGTGGCATGAGTTTGCCAGGAAATGACTCTGGGAAGAGCCAGCACCATCCCTTGACAGGCAAGCACAGTCTATTCTGGAGTCTCTGGTGGGGAGGAGGTCTGAATGCCGGAGACATTCTGGGTTCCAACAGACCCTCACAGAGATGGAAATGTTCTATTTCTGTTCTGTTACAATCTGATGCCACCAGCTAGCTCTGTGTGGTGAGTGCTAGAAATGGCTAGTCTGAATGAACGGGGAAAGCATTTGCTCTTTAATTTAAATCAGAACAGCCATGTGTGACCAGTGTCAGCCATGTGGATGATGCAGATTGGCCTGGGGGAGGGAGTGGGGGATGCTCTGATGGCTTGTGCTCTCTTAAGACTATCTGGTAGTTTGGGCATCTT